TAATAGTACTAATATATAGTAATAGATACTTTGAATTGACATAAAACCTTCATGGTATGAGATTATCGTGTGAAACTTTTTTCACATGATACTTATGAGGTTCTTGTATAAAAAAATGTGCAATATTCGATTTTCAATTGTTTTTTATTCAGCTTAGACGTGAAAGATGGATACTTCGAAAAGCCGAGTTTTTTTAATACGAGTTCTGACGCGGAGCTAACACGTCAGAAACGGCTTGCAATATCAACGCTGCGTTTGGAGAGGAGACTGCTAATGAGCCCACCATGCGTTTTTGCTTTAAACGCTTCCGTAATGGAAACTTCGACTTGAAGAAGGAACCACGTGGAAGACTGCCCACACAGCTGAATAACGCTGAATTGAAGGAGATGGTGGAAGCCGATCCGAGTCAAACCACCCAGGAATCAGCGACATGGTTTAACGTTACCCTAACTACAATATTGACTTATTTATATCAAATCAATAAGATAAAAAAATGTGAAAAATGGGTGCCTCATGATTTGACTGATCTGCAGTGTTGTAACTTATGTTGCCTTGTCGAACTCTACAGGAGCTGCAGTTAGAAACCATACATCATCTTCCGTACTTGCCAGACCTTGCTCCAACGGACTATCATTTTTTCGTGATTTAGACAATTTTGTACGAGATAAGAAAAAATCTTCCCAGGAGGCAGTACAAATTGCTCTCACACAGTTTCCAGAGTTCTAACGTAAAGGCATAAATGAACTTCCGTTTAGATGGCAGCAATGTATTGATAATGTGGGTAAATATTTTGAAAAAAAAAAATGTGACATCTGAAAAAAACGAGTCTCTTGAAGCTGTAAAAAAATCGAACTTCTAAGTTAACGAAAAAAAAGGCCGTTTATGCCGCAAAAACGTATATCGTAGATCGAGGAAGCCTCGATCTCTCAAGATCGGCTTGATCCCTTTGCGTTACGTAGAGATGTAGCTTCACTCTGCATTCTCTATCGTATATACCATGGAGAGTGCTCCGAGGAATTGTTCGGACTAACACCGGCCGCAACTTTCCGCCATCGTTCCTCACGGCAAAATTTTTATTTTGACTTGGTTAATTGGTGTTTCACCACTGTGCGTTTTTCAAGACACCTTTTACTTCGATATCATCGTCTGCGGTATTGCCGAACTGATACTACCTTCAAGAAAAGAGCGTACTCCTTCTTCAAAGTCCGGCAACGCGCTTTTGAGTCCTGAGTCGCAGGCGTTTATGGGCGGCGGTAGTCGCTTTCCAGGTGACCCGTCCGCTCGTTTGCCCCCACTTACATAAACAAAGAGTCATATATTAAAGTGTTTTTTTAATTCGGGCTTAACATTCGAGGTAACAAAATCAGTTCTGCAACTAAATATTTCTTTTATAATTATACAATGGTAACTGAAATGATTCACACAAGTCATAAACACAAGAAAAGTTACTATGAAATTACTGAGTCATTATTTATTTTACCAGCTTTTAGACTATGTAACTTACTTTCCAAGCGTAAATACACCATGAGTTTACCGTACCGTACTTGACAGCTAGCTGTCTCGACAACTTCTCCACTTCCTATATTTTGATAATTCAAAGGATTTTCATAGTGTACGCGGACATTACACCAAAAAACGTGCAGCTTCCGCGCTCACGGAAGTGTAATAGGTATTTGGTAGTATAATAAGAATACCTCATTTCATTGTTTAATTAATATTCTTTTAAAATGTTACATGCATATTAATGAGTAACTGTCCATATTTTAAGACTATTTTGTTATATATAGGGGGACAGTAAATATATATTAATTTAGTTCACACTTAGGTGCAACAGCTTGTTGCTAGCCATTGTTTCAGATATAAAGAAAATATTTTAAATCCCAAACAAGTTTATAATAATCGCTTACATATACCTTTGTTGCGTCTGCATGACAGACGCAACAAAGGTATATGTAAGCGATTATTATCGATTATTATTATTATCTTTGTCAGGCCAGGTGGAGTGACGATTTGCGCAAGATGGCTGGCAGGAGCTGGATGCGAGAAGCCCAAAATCGATCTAAGTATCGTGCAATGGGAGAGGCCTATGTCCAGCAGTGGACTGCGATAGGCTGATGATGATGATGATGATGATGCTTACATATACATTATCCTCGAGGCTGTGTTCGCAATGATATCGATTTTGTCTATCAATTTTTAACTATGTGTTATTTATCTGTGCCAAATTTAATCCAAATTCATCTTTACAAACTATTTGTGCACCACTGGACTGAAAAAAACGTATTCTATAAATACAATATCGATGAATACACGTAATCTATGAATACAGTAGACAAGAAGATTTTTTTTATAATTAGATCTCAAAGTGCATTGTTTTTTTTTATAGGCGTTGTCAGTCACAGATTATGATATTTGTAGATGTAGGTAAACAAAATAAAATATAGTCATTTCAATTTATCGTAACGAAATCTATAAACAGAGATAATGCCAGTACCAGTGTAAAGTGGAAGTCGCCTCGACGAGGCGTGGCAGGACGTTTACTGGGAGTTTGAACTTGACTTTCCCTAACGGACGTGAGGCACCGAAGGCTACCTACGCAGAGCAATGAAAGTTAAAACTTATAGGTAGAAATTTCACTTTTCTGGTTGAACGATCTGTTTTATGAAAGTACCAATCAGGTTTGAAATCACATTTTTGCATTCGAAGACATGCTTTTTTAAAGTATCTGGTACCAGGGAATTAAAATGGAAATAGAAATAGACGCCTATCTGATATCAACTCAGCTTGAGAATTTAATAATTTTTAAGCGTGGCACAAGATACTACCGTATTTTTAGATATGGAAAAAGCCGTTTATTGAAGACTCTGATTAGAATACTTGGACAAATTTATTAAATTATTGTATTGTCATCGGTCCTTAATAAGTGGACAAAGTTTGAATGCGATCCGACGTTTAGAGTCACAGATAATCACATTAAAAGATTCAGTTACTTACCAAGCTAATGAAAGTGTGCGAAAAAAATGGAGAGAACGAAGGAGCTAGGACAATGTAGTCTTGGAGACAGAAACAGTACAAAGACAGCAGAGTTATTAAAGGATCGACCTGTAATTGGATAGACCATTAAAAGTAATTAGAACAGGTACATCAACTGATCTGAAACTGTGTAGTCTATTTTTTTTTTCACATATACTTAACCTTACAAGGCAATCTGTAACTGTACAAAATTGGTTTCTTTGTTATCATAGACTTAATAAAGGATCAAAGTAGCAAAAGGACAGGATTTCTATGTATTTCTTAAATAGATAAAGTTGTGTATTGTAAATTGTAAATCGTATAGCACATTCGACGTAGGTAGCCCGCACTTACAAGCGCGTGCGCCATTCTTTCGTTGGTCTGCGAGCTTATATAGAATGTTTGAGATCGATCTCGTGTTACTTTCATTGCGGCTGTGCAATCAGGGTGTTGTCGATTACGTGGTGGGGCAAATGTAGTTAAATCTACGAACATACTGTGAGTTTGCAAGGTAAGCTTTGGTTTTGTCATTTCAGGAATGTTAATTAAATACCTACTATTGTTTGGCTATGGGAAAAAATTGGGATGGGAGTTAATTATAGGAAGTGTTTTTGACAGAAGGTTTTCGATATTCATTTTAAAGTTTTGTAGTTATGGTTCGTTTTAAAACTGAAGGTTTACTAACGAATATTCATTTTAATAAAGCATGCATTTTTACTTATGTAACACATTATTAGTACTTTTTTTATGTCAGCTGATAAAAATGTTTTATCAGAGGGTTTATAATTATTTGAATACTCAGGAAATAACAGACTTGTTGGTTCAGTGGTTAGCGATCTTGACGGCTAAGCCAGAGGGCGTGCGTTCAATTCCCACCTAGGACAAATATTGTGTGATGAGCACGATCATTCTGCGATCATTCTGTGTATATGTATGCATATAGAAATATATAAGTATGTTTAACAGCAGTCTGGTTACCATAGTACAGGCTGTGCCTAGTTTAGGATCAGACAGCCGTGTGTAAGATGAGTGAGATTATTATTATTTAGAAACATCTGTGCCCGGTAGACGGCAACAGGGGACGAGCCACGGGTCGTGGGTTCGATATCGAATACTGTTGACCAGGTACTCCTGAAGATGGTCGGCTCACAGTTACTTATAGTGGTCAATCCTAGCGTGACTTGCATTAAAGTCCATTTTCATGCACTTTCGGACTCTCCAATAATTAAGTGGAGATTACGTAATAAGAATTACTGGCTATGCATAAATTTTGTTACATCTCTTTTCAAAATATAATTACGTAAACTTTAAAAAGCCTTTACCTAGACATTAGTTTAGTTATAATATCAGTACGTGTATTATAAGTAACAGATCCTCACCTGTATGTGGATTACTTACATGATTCAGCAAAGGGAAAACCGTTCAAACGTTACCCAGCAAAGGCTGATGAATTTGTTCTTAACCAAATCATTTGCATGGATGGGACGTTATATGGTAAGCTTGCACGAAAGTATAATTTAGGTTATGTTTCGAAATCAAAATGAGAAGATTCTGGTTACTTAACTAAAAATTAAATTCATAGTTACCCGTATCTTTCGTCACTCTTAATTTCTGAATGTAATAGTAAGCAGGTTTTCTACTCGACCATAACCAGTCATATTTACCTATAGATGCTTTTTAAGATAATAACCACCCACGTGGTCCGTGTGGTGATGGATTAAGAATACGGAGTGCCACCACCCCTATTCATCCCGTGGGTGTCGTAAGAGCCGACTAAGGGAGAAAACTACGCAGGACAACAGCACTGCAAAGAGATGGAAAACGTGAAACAAACCCTATACCAACCCGTCTGGCCACCGTGATATAGTAGGCCAAAACCTCCATTCTAAGGAGAGGCCTATGTCCAGAAGAGGACTACTAAAGGCTGTTGATGATGAACTACCCAAGATATCAACCCTTTCTTACAATCTCTTCTTTTTGGCTTTCAGATGGAGTGGTCGGCGACGTGTTTCCTACTTGCGGTGATGTCACACGGCGGCAGTGGAGTTACTAAATCAGGTGCGTGAAATGCATTCTTTGACAGTTTGTGGGCAATTCATTCATCTCAGTCCATCTCACTTAATCTATAGAAATAGCTATAAAAATCCTTACACAAAACCTGTGTCATCACAAACTTAAATGGTTATTTTGTATATAAAGATTATTCCTAAAGGTTAGAGGACTTTCCAGTAATAGCCACTTATGGGTATGTGATCTTGTCCTGCTGAATCAATTACTAACACTCTGCAATCCATCCGAATAAACAATTTCCTTTTTCTACAATTGCCTTCTTGTCTAATCTACTTACTAAGTAACTGATGTTACTTAGTAAGTTTGTCTCTTAAGCGAATAAAGACTCTCATGTGTATTTTGAAGATCTGAATTTGTTTCGGATTCAACATAGGATCTTCAGTAATATGTAAAGCGACTTCCACGTCGGTTTTAGGTGTAAAACTTAGTTTTGCAGTTTTAAAATTATGATTTTGGGGACATAAGTAGCATGCGGAAGTCTCTTCGTTCTGTTGTGGAGTTGATTATAATAAGCATTGCGGTAAACATCAAACTGATTTTCGTATTTTGCAGGTGCAAAAGGTTTATGATAGGTCAGTTTCAAGGCTATTGATCAAGCAGAAGGCAGTCGACTTATTTCGACCCCTTCACGTACTTTTCCGAAGTATTTTTCTCCCACTTTTGCACCAGTTGCGTTTAGCTTCAGACATGTTCAGCAACGACCGACTGTCCATATTCTTTACACAGTTAATGGTATCCACAGTCTTGTTCAATATTTCCCGCATAGTTCAAGCCACATGCAATTCACTCCAGGTCTTCAAAATCCTGTTTGTCAGCAGCAATTTCTTATTGTGAGCTCATCACTTTATGGGGATTGATTACCAAAATCTGCATAACGCAAGTGAAGCCACTAGCACAACATAACATATCAGATTATACAATCTGTCAGCTCTGTATAAGAGTAAACCAATCAATCCATCTTATACAACTCGTAAAGTACCACTTGGGCAGTAGTTAGCTGCCATCGGAAGTTCGGGCCCCTTTCATGGCACAATACCATAAAATAAAATTGCTGACGCATTATGACATATTGTCGTTATGTGATAGTTGAAAGTAAGATACCATGTTAAAATGTAACATGCAGTGTGTGCACTTTCGCTGCTAAACCAGTTTACATTTGCGAATTGTCACTGTTTTACAAGGTGAAGATGATACTTTGACGCTTTCATTTATTTTACGACGTTTATTTTGAGAATATATATATTTTTTGTTAATCTTATAAGGCCTACTTTTTAAAATTAGTTATCGATAACTTGTGGCAATCTATACAAATAAATAAAATTGAAGTATCTGTTTGTAATGTCAAAATAATAGTTTTTTTCATGCTTACACGGTTACTTGCACGATAAAACGGCCTAAAAAAGTTTAAAATATTTTTGTTTGTCTGTCTGTTTATTCCGGGTAATCTTCAAAACGGCTAGACCGATTTGTTTACTGTTTACCGATAATGTTTTACGACAGCTTAGTAGTTAGTAGCTGTCTATATAAGGAGTAACTTAGGCTATTTTTTATCTCAGAAAAACCCTATAAATTTTACCTGGTCCGGGAATCGAACTCGCTAAGGCAGAGCTTTTTTCGCGGCTTCCTTTGCGTTATAATCTATTTAACCAATCTTTTTTTCCAAAATGAAAAGTAGCAAATGTGTTTATTCAATTTAAACTTTACCAATCCAGCTGTTCTGGCTGATTGAGTCAGAAATATTAATATGAACTCGCATTTTTATTATTAGCATTCTATTTCCTCCCTTTTTAATATTAGTTTCCGACTCATATGAAAAGGATAAGTTCATATCTAATTGAGTCAAAATCTGCTATACATGTAATCGTGTATAAATAAATAAACTTTATAATAATTTTTAGGTATTGAACAATTTTGGACGGATGACTACAAAATATTTGAACAAGTTTATGGCAAAACGTCAGACAAAGAAATATACGGTGAAACATTACCTGCAAGCATAACCTATTCTCGAAATCACGACCTAAATAAAGACGCTTCGCAAAAGAACGAAAGATATCTCATTAACTATGATGAACCTGAATCTGAACAAATGGACACTTATAACTTTGGAAATCTATACAGTAACGCATTAAACCAACAGACTTTGAAATTGCTGAACAGAAAACCTGCGACGTCGTCCATTAACTTTGTGAGCTACTCAAACTTCAAGCCAATAAGTTCGGAAAGTGATCCAGATACTTATGATTACTTAAAACATTTAGAAGAGTTTAACAGCGAAGACAAATATAATTCTCCAAAAACAGTAGGAGGTTTTAAACCTTATATTAACTATGAAGAAACAGATCCTGAGGAAACAGATGCTTATAAAAATATACAAGACATTCTCGAAGCCCACCAAGCTAATAAAGAAAGCAATAATTACAAGAAAGAGAACGACAATAATTCGAAATATTTGACATATCCGAAGAATAAGAAGAAGAAACCGCCCAGGGTTCACAATGAGTATAATAAACCAAGGTGTGTAAATGGCAGCTGCAGGAAGAGGGGTGCAAGTTACAGGTCAAGGAATAGGCCATACAGGTGGACTCCGTCTTTGAAAACTGTAGTTGTTATTTAGTATTTAATTTTAGTTACAAGGCTTTAAGATTCAATCTTCTTTGTTTTTACATCAGTATGACTTAGGCTGTTTAGAGGTTTATTTGCAAGAATTGATATTTAATTATTTCTCTGAATATGGCTTGTATTAATTGAATTAGGATAGTGAACTGTTGTGTTGTAAATTTGGCCTGCGTTTTGGATGAACTTTAATTGTATCAATATGTATTCTTTCTAAGTAAGCCCTTTGCTGTAATGATTTTATTGTCTTTGGCACAGACCATCTTTTACCATTACAAAATATTAGCGTGTCTCACAGCTTTTCCCAACGAAAACTCTTTTAAGGTACCCCAAATTCGCCTATATCGCTGAACCATTAACTATCTTGAAGTGTTATATAGTTATTTTTTAATAATTAAGTATTTATGGAGGAAGCTAGTTCGTAGTTCTGTTATTGTTATGTATTAATGAGTTCACCATATTGTAGTGTGTGTGAGATTTTAGTTGTTTTTCTTGTGTGCGGGTGTTTTGGTGATTGTGGTGAGATATTCTTAACAGGAATATCTCACAATTACTTTTATTGTTACCAATACAATGTTATAGGAATAAAGGTAGATTGGTTATGTCCACACTGAAAGTGACACACTAAAATGGGCCAATTGGCTTAGTTTTGTTTTAAAAAAAGTGTTTCTTGCCGTTTGTTATTACAAAATAAATATCTATCTCTTATTAATGTACAATATTACTTCCTGCTCTCCTTGCCTTTATTTTGTATGAAATAAAAATGATACAAATGTCGTTTAAACTTAATTTATTACTTAATATATAAAAATAAACTTATTTATTTACGTATTTGTAATCTTTTTATGTAATTTTCTGATGAAAATTAGCAAAAGAGACTACTTTTATTTAATGCGTTTTCACCCAAAGCTGTCTCAACCCAGAAGCCCAGAAGCCCAGAAGATGTAGGTAATGTACCAATTGTTTTGACAGGCAGAGTTACCAACAAAATCCATAAACATTTGATATTTGTTAATCTGTTTCTTATGTTTTAGCATTGAATTAGGCATAACTAATTTAAACTTCAATCATTCTTTTAAGAAAATAGTAGACCTATTAATACTGTCTTATTGCAGATGACAAAAGAAGCAAATACAATATTTGTTATTTTTTAACAATGGCAGCACAGTATTTTTGTGTGTAATTGAAATATAACTTTTATTTTAATTCGAGAAACTGAAAAAATGTGAAGGTATTAAGCAATTTGGTTAAAACAAAACGATTCATAGTAAAAGTGGTATCTTAAAAGCCAGTGAGAATTGTGGTTATTTTTACACCTTGTGAAGTTTTTATTTTCAACAATAGATGTCGCTTTTAAAGTCTCACTTTTAACTAACGTTTAAAAAAGTGTAAAAAGTATCTGAATCTTCAAACAAGTAATTGATGTAGGTATTTCTTTCGTTAGAAGCACCTAACAGTAAAATATAATAGTAATAAATCATATAAAGACAGAAATAATTGTCTTGTAAATAAATAATAACAATGCGTCCTCAGTTATTACTTAATTAGAAGACAATATCAAGAATTGAATTTTATAGAACACGAAATAATTTCAGTGATAAATATTCCCAATTTACACCATCAATAAACGTTAATAAATAATTATAAATACAATATTAATTAATCGATTAGAAATGACAAATAAATTCTCGTTAAACGAATTAAATTCTTTGTTAGTATTCTGTTTTTTCCCTCCAACTCAAATGATTGATTAGGTATTTACTTGCATTCGAGTTGTGTCCGGATGGAATATGTCAATTTCAATATCTATTTACAATCAGATTAAATATTTAATATCCATGCAAAATAAAGAATTTTTCCTTTCATTAGAAATAAATAACAAATCTGCCATGATCATTTTGGCATGATGTTCAATATATAAAGTTAGGGTTGGTTTCACTCTGCCTGGCTGAACCATTGGCAATATGGTTCCTGTTCTTCTTGCTCTCCTGGATGCTGTGCAGCAGGAAGGGAGGGGCGGTGGATTGCTGCCGCGACTGCCGGTTGTCCAGCTCATGCATCAGTTCTTCTACGAACTGCCCACCCGTCTGACTGGAGAAATACGGGTATTAAGAGTGATGGAATAAATTTAGAGTTAATACTAAAATATTAGGCTTACGAATGATCAGCTTTAAGCGGTAACCAATGATTCAAGAACTTTAAACAGTTACATCTTGACTTATTACTCACACAGATATTTAATAACCTACAAAATGCCAAATCTTCAATCCAAAACTTGTTATTTGCAAATAAGTAAGCAGTTCAATAGTTTTATATGATGTATGTGACGATTCCCACATACAAAGAAACAGAAACATACTACAGCGCCATCTAACGAAGATACACCGAACTACGGAGTAATGGCTAATCCTGTATCGCGATAACCAAACCACCTGGTCGGAGGATCCTCCCTTTGTGTTGGAGGGACATGACACACGTTCCTCCACCATATACTTATAACAACTGACATGTAACCAAACATCTGACGGCTAAATCTCATTCCTCCATTCTCATTCATCTCATTGCTCAGATTGTGATATTCTGTTTTATATGATATAGAGAAAAAGCGAGCAGACAGTACCAGACAGGACACTTGATTGAAAGGGACTATGGCCGCCCAAGAACGAATTCTTTTATGTAAAGATTTAATTTTTAAAAATAAATGTTACTATTTAGAAAATATCTATAATTTTCTTGTAGCCGCGTTGGTTCAAAATTTAAACGTTAGATGGCGCACTCGTTAATAGTACCGTAAAATACTCTGCACTTTTAATCTCTTAATTTTCACCTTTAAATGATAAATTTATCAATGGAAGATATTGTAACGCCTCATCACCCTTTTCAATTCAACATCAATCGATGATATTTTATCTGTGATCTGTGGATGATCATCTGGAGTATTCATCATTGGGTCCACTTCATCATTTGGTGATTTTCATGATAAATACATACATATTTATTTTTGGATAAAATTAACTTTTTCTTAGTTAGAAACCGATTAAATTCCTCTTAAATGATCTCTTTGATGCTATAACTGGACTGTCAAAAAGAAAAGAAAGGAATGGAAAGGGTATAAGGCTTATCTCGTTAGGTGAGAGTCTAGAGACACGTACCGTTCCTGATGTCTCTCTGGATGTCTTTCAATACGTCCATTCTCCACATCGGATTGAGTATCTTGTCCCATGTACATGGAGTATCCACGCCGGGACAGTTCCTCATCTGGAGACAACGCTGGATTGTGGAAGGAGTGGTTCTTGTCATTGTTCATTTTCAGCTTCCTGGAAAATTTAATTATTTTCTCATTTCACAATAAAAAGTAACAAATAGGTAAGTTACATATGTTTCAGTACCCGCCTCAGTTAATCCTGAAGATCCTGATCGGGACAATCCGAAAAACTTATTATATTATTGTATTCTCATCGGTTCTTGTGCAAAATTAAGAATTAATCAGACATTTTTAGCGAGTAAAAATAGAGTTCAAAGATTCCGTAACTTAGATACAGGTGAAACTAATAAACGGGGGGGGGGGGGGGTCGTCTACCTGTTATTGTAGATGGCCCGAGGTATGTCGGGGCACCAGGGACTTCCTTTCTAGGGTATACCTGGTTCCCCGGCTATTAGTACCTGAGACGGCGTGCGGTTTTAGTCGGTTCGTGTCCGACATGCCACCGATAGGTGGTATCCGAGGGGAAAAAAAAAAGGTGAAACTAATAAATCTTAACAATAGAGAATTTGATTGACATCTTGTACCAAATAATTATATCAATCTAATATTAGTATACAGAAATATAAAAATAAATACCATTTACATGTTATATATATATATATATATATATATATATATATATATATAATATATATTTATATACATACATACATAAATTTGTTCAATTCTGATAAACTACTTCATCACACCCCCAGGGCCGTCTTGGGCCTGGGCACATTGGGATAATGGAGGCCTCTTCGACCTTCACTGATTAGTATTCTGTTAGAATAACTAAAAAAGGTACTATAATCAGCCATTTTAGATGGATTTTTCTAAATAAATATGGTTTTCAGTAATAAATATCGATTATCGAATTAGGTTAGTAGGTAGGAATTAGGGGGCCTCTATCCATCAAGGGGCCCTGGACACGTGCCCAGAGTGCCCAGTGTGAAAGAGGGGCCTGCACACCCGAAGAGGAAGTGACACCATTTGTTTTCAATTTTGTTTATTGTTACAAATAAAGCTCGCTTCTGATTATTAAACTAAACAACATTAAAATCGTTTGACAATCAGGAAACAGACAGGCGAAAGTAATTAACTGTTTTGTTTTTGCGCATGTATGTATGTGCAAAACGAAACTATTCGATTTAGGATGTGCTAGAATGGAGACCACGATCAAGCAAACGTAGTGTATGGCACCATGCAGCACGATGGCTTGGGGAAAATGGCTGGAAGCAGATGGATGCGAACTGCCCAAGACTGCTATGGTTGCCGCTCCTTAGGGGTAGCCTTCCTTCAGCTGCGAACGGCAATAGGCTGATGATATGCATAGAAGAAACTTACTGCACTTTTATCCGTGAGGAGTTTTGCATATCAGCCAGTTTCTTCTTGAGGCTGTTGAGCTGGGTGAACAAGACTATTACCACGATGAGGAGCACCAGCCATGCCGCGGAGAGAACGCTCGCCACTACTATTATCTGTGTTTCAACCTCCTGTGGACAATATCAATATACATACATAATTTAGAACATAACACTAATAATGACCAGTATAAGTTGAATTATTGTTTTCTAGTATTTCCAATCATACCAATATAGGCAATCAGTTCGAATTTTAGTTATGGGATCCTGAGCTAGTCGAGCTTACTCAAATTCCAATCGTATGAACAATATCATGTCCGTGTGGTGACGGATTAAGAATACGGATGGTCTTTTCCTCTCATATTTAACTCCTAATTTTCCTTCCCATTTCCTAGAGTGCCCAGTTTACGCCAACAAGCTGGTTGGCCCCTATATTATAAAAAAAATCTTTAATCCTTATCTCTGGATATAAGTTAATATCCTACAGAACAGGAATAATTTACTAGTTTGAAGATAGTTTTTAATGTAAAGACATTTTCCTTAAGGATGCTGTATTTAATTTTATTTATTTATTTTATTTATTTAACTTAATGCACTAGTTGTACAAAGGCGGACTTAATGCCCAAGGCATTCTCTGCCAGTCGACCTTCGGGTGATGTAGAAAAATGAAGCTGTAGGTGCAAGAGAAAACAGAGAATTTGACTTGTTTATATTATTAATGTTGGATAAATCTAACTTACATATATACACAATTTTACGTGCATGTTTTAAATCTGCATATCATAAAATTGATGGATATTTAATATAATAATTTTCTGCACGCTGATACGGTATGAAGTGATAACTAGAACATCTCAATTTTTCATTCCTTAATTTTCACCTTTAGGGGTGACTTTTTTCAGAAATTGCCGAATCAAAAAATAAATGACGAAGTTAAAAACCATACAGCTGAATTTAGAAACTCTTTTTTTAAAAGTCAAAGTAAGTATAGATACAAAGTGCAATTCTAAGTAAATGTGAATTTAGTACATGCAAGATTCATTGCGAAAGAAAGAGAGGTAATACAGTTAGCTGGCAGGGAGAAAGGGACGGAAGGGCAGGGAGGGAAGACAATAATAAGTAAATAGTTAATGAAAGAGTCGAGAGACTATAAGTTTTTATTGTAGATATCGACTAACGTAACACTTATTTCTAAACAGGTAGATACTGAAGAGCCTTCCAAAAACGCTTATTTAGAGTTTATAAGCATTTGTAATTATAATAAGTGTTTTGTTCTCTTGGTCACTTTGGTCACTTAATGGAAAGTGGCTACAACCACCTATGAATGCCTGCAGCTCAGGAGTCACATTGCGCGCCCGTAATGAAGGAGTACGCTCTTAACTTGAAGGTCTTATCAGTCCAGAAATCCCGCCAATCTAATCGCTAATCTCTGGAACTATGAGTCGGATATGAATGATACTTTTTCTGTTAGATAGAGTATTTGTTGAGGATTAGTAAGGCTATAAAACATCACGGTCCATGTGGAGACGGGACACTATTCATTCCGTGGGTGTCGTAAGAGCCGACTAAGGGAGAAAACTACGCAGGACAACAGCACTGCGGTAGAAGGAAAACTTGACACAAACCCTACACCAACCCGTCTGGCCAGCGTGGTATAGTAGGCCAAAACCTCCTTTCTAAGGAGAGACCTATGTTCAGTGATAATGTGAAAAAACATCACGCTACAACCATTCGAAGCGGAACAGTGTTCATATAAGCAAGTGAACTATGGAATTGCGAGTATTCCATACCTTTATCGAAGGAAAACTGGACATACATAATCAAGTACATAAACCTGCAATGCAGGAATCAAATTTATTTATAAAATAATAAAATTTCTTAGCAGTATATAAACACGCAAAAATTACAGATTTGTTTTTTTGTATCTTTTATAGAATAAAAGCGACAGGAAGATATGCAAGATACATGTACGACGAGGTAAACAAAGTATAAGTCTTTGGTATAGTGGTTAGTGACCCTGACTGTTAAGCCGGAGGTCGTGGGTTCGATTCCCACACAGGACAAATATTGTGTGATGAGCACGATTATACGTAATTAGAAATATTTCAGAATGTTTAGTTTAGTTACCAAGTACAGGCTCTGGCTAGTTTGGGATCAGTCTGCCGTGTGTGAAGTATGTAAAATTAATATTACTATTAACTTATGTCAAATAATTTCAAGTAATAAACAACTAATGTTTTATGTAATAAAACCTTTCTGAAGTTATGTTAAATATTACAATGATACAATCACAAAATGTTAAAAAAAGAATGATAAATTCGTCCATTAACTTATAAAGAAAACGCAGATATGCAAAACGTTCACACAAAACTTACTTACTTTTTTGAAGTCGGTTGAATTTATAAATAACTTTTTCATTTCAATTTAACATGAACTCAGCCATGATTATGTTCATGCACTGCATTCTGCACTGCACTGCACTGCATTTAAGCTTGGCTTGAGCGATTTACAAGAACACTATTACATATGTGTTACCCGTTCTATCCGTGTGGTGACGGATTAAGAATACAGAGTGTCAGCACCCCTATACATCCCGTGGGTGTCGTAAGAGCCGACTAAGGGAGCAAACTACGCAGGACAACAGCGCTGCAAAGAGAAGGAAAACTTGTAACAAACCCTATACCAACCCGTCTGGCCAGCGTGGCCTTCTAAGGAGAGGCCTATGTCCAGAAGTGAACTATTAAGGGCTGTTGTTGATGATTACGATGTGATTACCCATGCGCTATGATACTTTTATTTATATTGTTAAATATAGGTTATAATATTGTTCTTACCATGTCTGTGTAAACTTAAATAGAACTCAATACAATTCACTTTTAAATAACTGCACAGAGATGTATAAATACATATTGATATGTACACAATCGAAGACAAACAAAGTAAGACTAATACTGACATTGACAGAATTTAATTAAAAAACGACGGTAGATAAACAAAAGTGGGTGAGTTCATTAAATTTAGATAAGGACGAAATGATACGGCCATCGAATTGACGAAACACTTGTTTTTATTGCAGATTGACAATGAGCAACTCTGAAATAAAGTGTGATCTCAGGCAAATTTAGGCAACCGGTGAACCAATTCTGTACCCAAGGGCCTGCAGCGTAGATGTGGTTGAGGTGTCAATGGCATTGGTAAGCACTTAGCATCAGGATGACAGACAAAGATGCGTTGCTGCCCTTGGAGTCCGGTAATTTGGGCTCCGGTAACCTCACTCACTCAGTGAAAGGCAACGAAAGAATTGCTTAACACCGGTTTTCTGTGAGGCCGTGGTATCACTCCGGTTGAGCCGGCCCATTCGTGCCGAAGTATGACTCTCCCACGGTAAACTCTTAAGTTATGGACATTTAAATTTTCTTTTTACTTGGTACATGAATTTTCATTTAAGAGTATTAGTGTCAGTAAGTAGGTAATTTGTGTTAGATGCTTAATCATCATTAAAGCATTTTATCTTTTGTTTACATTTAGTCTTCGGTGAGTTTGAGTCACCTTAACAATTATCCGTTAACAGATATGATTATTGAATGATATGTAATAGTCATTTAATAGTTGGACATAGATTAATAATCATTGATACAAATTATTTTACGTACTACAACTATAATATTACTATGAAACCCAAGGTATTCTGTACCAGTCAACGATTGGGTGATACTGAGATAACGACGGTAGGTGCATTTTGTTTAAAATTTTAGTTTTAGTTTTAGATTATTATAATGAAAACTTTATCTGTTCATACTAAGAATACTACTAACATAAGAATGTACACATGTACATTAAAATGTATAGGTTCTAGGGTATGATGGGTTTATCCCATCCCATCCCATCCCAAATGTGTGTAAATGATGGTATATACGTACCTTACGTACCTTCATTTATACATATTTTTTGTTATTACTGTTTAATAGATGGTACCCGCGACTTCGTGGGTTCAATGCCCGGACTGGGCAAGATTTTAAAGGGTTTTTCTGAGAAAAAAATAGCATACGTTATTCCTTATGTAGACGCTACCTGTTAGTAAAATATTATCGAAATCGGTTAAGCCGTTTAGCAGATTACCCGGAACAAACAGACAAACAAAAAAACTGGTTTTTAGACATAAGTATCAAGCAAACAACCGTGTGAGCCACCTATAATTTTGACATTTCAAACAGACACCAATTTAATTTATTTGTATAGATTGGACGATTTCAATTGAAATACAAACACAGATGGTACAGTACAGTACAGTATGGTACAGTCGTAATCTTCGATAAAACCAGATAAACGCGTCACCGTTTTTTATTGTAGGTATTATCTATTACATTCCTTAAGCGTTTACACCACATCGGCTTTTCTCCGTCTAACTCCGATATTGTAACGAGGCGACCGAATGGCGTAGTGGTTTGTGTAACGGACTGCAGTTCTAAAGGTCGCGGGTTCGATTCCCGCTCAAGTCAAACATTTGTGTGCATGAACTTTTAATGTTGGACTTGGTCTGGGCGTTTCTATGTATAATATGTATGTATTTACAAAAAAACAAGTATATATATGTATTTATATCAGTTGTCTAGTACCCATAGTACAAGCTCTGCTTAATTTGGGATAGATGGCGTTGTCTCAATGTGGTAGAATATTATTATTATTATATTGTTATTATATATTTCAATTTATTTATTTGCTCTTCACAATTAGTTTTAATTTTTTTTTACCCATTTGCCACGCAAAGAAAGGAGACTCAAAGCGAAGTCACAGGCAAAAAGTAGTAACTCATCACCAGCGGTCCAGCGATTTTTTTTTAGACAAGACAACTCCCGCACTAGGAATATATCCTGTATCGTGGGGGATTTTACAAACATAAATGCAACGGACACTAAGGAATCCCAGACTCAGAATGACAATTTATGAATCACACAAAGTGTCGTCCCATGTGGGGATCGAACTCACAACACTCAGTTTAGTAGTAAGCTACGTGGCAACCGCTTAAACCAATACGCCATCCGTGCAATCACTTCAGGTGGATTTCAGTGTTATGCCCGTACAAAAGGATCATATAAACATACACTCAGGGAGATATATGACTGCGTCGGTGGTGCAGTGGTAGCGTATGCGAGTGCTGTGCTGAGGTCTGGAGTTCGATTCCCGGGTCGGACTAAATATTTGTATGATCTGTTAATATATGTTTCGGAGTTTGGGTGTTTTCTATGTATAATATGTATGTATTTACAAAAAAAGTTTATAAGTATTCTATCAGTATTCTATCAGTCAATCTAGTTTTCATAGTACAAGCTCTGCTTAGTTTGAAACTAGATGGCGTTGTGTGTTAGATGTCCGGAAAAATAATAATATTATATTATTATGTATATTTAACGCCTACATTTTTCCGTGTGGTGACGGATTAAGAATACGGAATGTCACCACCCCTATTCATTCCGTGGGTTTCGTAAGAGGCGACTAAGGGAGCAAACTACGCAGGACAACAGCACTGCAGAGAGAAGGAAAACTTGAAACAAACCCTATATCAACCCGTCTGGCCAGCGTGGTATAGTAGGCCAAAACCTCCTTTCTAAGGAGAGGCCTATGTCCAGCAGTGGACTGTTATAGGCTGTTGATGATGATGATGACATCTTTCCACTGCTTTAGTGCCACAGATTACCTGGATTGGAGGTGATCTGTGTTTAGTGCCAATGGAGGACAAAGCCATTGCTGGCAACCGGGCACATACCTATATATACATATAAACATGCAGAACATTTATTTACATACCTCTCATAAACATCATTTATTTACATAAACTTGTTTGTTTTTTTTTTCAACACAAAACAAATAAAAGAAAATATGTTTTAACAGTTGTTATTAATTGCCAGCAAAAGCCAAGTATTTCTTTGAATCATTTCCTCTGAGGATGTATTGATAAGGTGGCGAATATTTCGTGTAAATAAGTGACAACATAATAAGCAATCTAAGATAAAGCATGCGACCAATGTTGACATGTTAGATAAACATGTAAGATACTGGTTTATAAATATTTTGAGCTAGTATTCACTTCTAAATGCTTATAAATGGATTACATTGTGGCACACGATAAGTTATCCAAGTTAAAGGGTAATTGCTCGACCCCTCAATTCATTCATATAAGCAGGATCATTTTCCTGAAATTACTTTCCCCTTTGTTATACTTCTAATGTTATTAAGCTATTGCATAGCTTCTATCGAGGGCCTTGAGCGCGGGGACCGAATCCAGAAATTCCGTAACGAAAAAAAACCTCACGCTAAAAACAAAACAAAAAACAGTACCAAAATCAAATGCTGAACGTCAAAGGAAATTTCGTCAACATAATGCAGAAAAATCTTACATGGATATGTAATTTGATTTAATAATAATATTATTTATTTATTTATTTAAAAACAAATTGTAATATATGCTTCAATATTTTTATTTAATAAAAGAAAAAAAAAATGTTTTCTTATCGGTCACCACGCTCAAAAAGTGTAACTTGAATTAATATCAAAGAAAAAGAAATACTGCATAAATAATTGCATAAGTTGATACAAAATGCTATGCAATAGCTTTACCGCGGCAGTGCCACACGTCTTTTTTATTATTAAGAGAACGTCACGTCTTTTCGAGGGAAACATATTTATTTACTCTACTCAACGTTTTAGGATTATAACATTATGAGCAAACCTTTAGTGAATATAAACACCAGATATGAGTCGTACAGTACTAAATTATAGTATTTTACTATTTTGGGGCCTATTGGTCTAGTGGTTAGTGACTCTGACTGCTAAGCCGGAGGTCATGGGTTCGATTTCAACCCAGAACCAAAAAAATTGTGATGATCACGATCATTTGTTCTGTGTCTGGTTGTAATTTTTTTTTAAATATGTATGTGTTTAGAAATATACAAGTATGTTTATCAGCAGTCTGGTTACCATAGTACAGGCTCTGCCTAGTTTGAGCTCAGGCGACTGTGTGTGAGATGGGTTAGGTTATTATTATTGGTTAAGAAAGATACGTAAATTTCGCACATAAACATATTTTATTTAACTTGTTAAGAATTCTTTTGTTCATGGAAAATCTAAATAAATGACGAATAAATCGCTTATTGTGTTAAATACAATTACAAAAGAAAAAAATGCATACTTTAAATGGTTCTCAACATTTTCTTTTTACTTTTCCTGGACTAAGTTACACGATATATATATTTTTTAAAAGATCTCTCCCGCATTAGGAATATATATTTCTTTATCGCGGAGGACTTAACAAACATACATGAAACGGACACATAGAACACAAAGATTCAGAACAACAATTTGTGGATTACATAAAGGGTGTCCCATGTGGGGATCAAGCCCACAACATTCAGCGCAGGAGGACCGCTTAAACCACTACATCATCCGTGCATATCGCTATACATTTCAATAATATCTTTAATACAACTTTAATCCTGTATTGACCAGAACAGAATAATCTTTACTCCTGACCTTGCATAGGTACACAGGAGCTAAATACTTCACAAACATACGAGTGTTTGATAAACAAAGTTTATGACGTAAATATACTTAACAGAACCTACGCTTAACAGAAGTCATTCTGTATTATTCCCTGAAACACAATAGAAAATATATCGAAGACTAAACAGCACATATGTTTTGCCGTATGAATGCAACGCCTGTATTATACTTAATTACGAGAATAATGAGCTCACCACTTATCTATTTTAGTAAAAATAAAATTCTCTTTGTTAGTATGCATATCACTTGAAAATGGCTGGACCCATTTAGTTAAATTTGATTTAATATTCGTTACTGTCCTATATACTTTATAGGGCTCAGACATTTCATGCGGAGGGATGAGGGGCATATCATGCGAAAGTGTTAGGTATGAAAGTTGATTCCCCGGCTATTAGTTGGTTCCCCGGCTATTAGTACCCGAGACGGCGTGCGGTTTTAGTCGGTTCGAGTCCGACATGCCACCGACAGGTGGTATCCGAGGGGATTTCCGCACGGATAAAAAAAAAAAAAAAAGGGTTGGAAGGTGAAGGGTACAAGAGAAGAGCAAGACCAAAGAGAAGGTGGATGGACTGTGTGAGAGAGGATATAGCTAGGAAGAGACTGAACACTGAATACTGATAGAGTAGAATGGAAGAATAATACTCGTACATTCTGCGACGACCCCAAATAAAATTGGGATAAGGGTAGGAAATAATGGTTATAAGGCTTAGACTTTCAGCTGTTAATTCGATTGTCTACTGATAACTGCTCGAAATTTCCTAACCCAACCGGATAAGTAAAATTCCTTTTCTACAATAACATTTCCCTATAATCTTCTATTGCTTTAACTTTTTCTCCAATTTAGTCTTTAAAGAGCTTAAGACTTGTCTCTTATTATTTGAGTGTGACTAAAATTATACTTTATAAGATATAAGGGTTTAACACGTTTTTGTCTGCCTCCGAGGGTATGAGTGTACTCGGATGTTAACATTTAGAAATGTCTTTGAATAACTTAAAAATGTATTTGTCGAGTATTTTGCTATATGAATAGGAACTCCATTCCATTACTTCCACCATACTATGATAATAAAAGTAAATTAAGAACATTGCTCAATATGTTTCAGAAAACTATAAATGATTAAATTGTGGAATAATTTTCTCACCTTTTAAATCACATATTGACATTAAGAATTTAGTTTTTCAGTCTCATATAAGATTATTATAAAATATTTCTAGGCCCTGTGAGACGTAGTAGATGTTTTAAATTTGATAATAGATAAAGAATACCTTCAGACAAGTGTTGATATAGTTATAGTTTGTTATGAGTCACATATATCCGCTTTACTAAAGCAAATATAACAAATATTAGACATTTGTAACCATTTCCTAATTCATCATTTTCTAATTCAAAATCATAGTAGATTTAAAAGATCCCAAATTCTATTAAAATTACCATTTCTGGGAGTCAAATAATTAAGGTATTTAATGCATTCTTAAATCCATTATAATAATCTGTAATTAAGCTAATAAGTTATAATAAACTTTATCCCACACATAGACAATACCAGGAGCTATCGGTTTTAACATTAATTAAAGTTGTTGTTATTTTTAAGAATAACACACATTTTTATCGCGATTAGATATCGCCTTTAGCACTCTGTAGTAAATTTTTAATTAGAGAACCATCTTCTAGAATAAGACGAACAGTTTTAGAGATTATCTCCTACATCTAAACTTCTATACTTAACCCATTGATAACACTACGTGTACATGATAAGATATAGAAGAAATTTACGACATAAAAATACCTCTTAATCTTTGATTAAGAAATTAAACCACTTTTTTTGCAAGATATACCACGATCAAGAAGAATTTTTATTGATTTTTGTCACTGTTTTTTTATAAAACACTTAGAAATATAAAATAAACTTACCATTTTCAAGTAAGCCAGAGACACATGTTGAGTTACGACCGTCACGTAGCGTACTGACCGTTATCAAACAATATCAGATACATTAGCGATAACGTTATCATTCGAACATACCTCGTCACTACATCACTACGCATACAACGATAGCCATTGAATAAATTAACTAATTAATTGAAATATTAAATGGCTTCCGAATTAAATATCTGTGAGATAAAAGTATTACGTGTTAATAGCACTGATTTTATCATGACATCATGATATTGGCCTGTGGTTATTCCTATTGCTTTTCCAAATAGGAAAGATATTTAGCACCCCTGGTCTCCTCGAATTTTAGTACTTTCAGTCCCTTTTCCTTTTCGAGATTTGCGGTTTCCTTTTCCACAGCTCCTTCATCCTATCCGTTTTCCTTAGGTACCCAAATATATCTTCTCCTTAGTCCCGTTTAAATATGATTACATTTTCAAGCTTCACGTCACGTTAACCAGAAACTGGATTAAAACCCCAATGACTGGCAGATGATGATGAAGACTGAAATGAACTCTAGCCCGTTTGTTATTACATTTTTGATGAACATCACTACCAACAATTAACAATCCGACACCACACGTTGATGAATATGCAGATAAATATTTGTGAAATCACCGAAATCCTAGACAAATTTTTAATTTTGTGTAATGTTTACATCAATAGCCTATAATAGTCCCAGGGGCCAGACGGGTTGGTATAGGGTTTAAGTCAAATTTTCCTTCTCTTTGCCGTGCTGTTGTTCTGCGTAGCTTGCTCCCTTAGTCAGCTCTTACCACACCCTTGGGCTGAATAGAGGTGTTGACACTCCGTATTCTTAATCCGTCAAGACACTGGCAATCCGTCACCACACGTTGTTGAACATACAGATAAATATTTGTGAAATCACTGAAATCCTAGTCAAATTTTTAACTTTGTGTGATGTTTGGTATCTGTAATCAGTAATCGTATAGTTTTACGATTGATACTAATCTTTATTTAAATTTTGAGTCTTCGAAGAATTATTTATCGTGTTCGTTATCATGGAATATTTACTGGAATTACCGGATACTGATATACATTTAGACTTACAAGATAAAATCTGCTACACATAGGATATGCTACCGTGTCGATAGAGAAATCAAAATAATGTTATATGTATAGTATTCTTAAATGAAAAAGAGTTTAAATGCTTTATTTTCACTCTACAAACATACATGAAACGGTCACTAAGAACACCCAGACTCAGAACAACAATTTGTGGATCATACAAGGTGTTGTCCCATGTGGGAATCGGACCCACAACACTCAGCGTAGTTAGAAGCAGCGTGGCGACCGCTTAAACCACTACGCCATCCGTGCAGTCAAAGTATGTGAACAATATATTTGTTTATATTTCAGTATTTTTAACAGTAGTTAAATATTCTGCTGCTACAGTGTAAGGCTTTAATAAATATTCATTTTCGTGACTGATCAGTGCGTTTACTAACCACAGATATTGATATGTAGCTTTTAAAATCATAACCAATTTATAAATACTTGTTTTGCACGTAAATGTAGGTATTGTTTTGATTTCAAATAATAATTGAAATATCGGTAATTGTTTCTTTCTTTTTTCTTTTTAAAAAGACAACTCACATTACTAATATATCCTGTGTCGCAGAAATTTTATAAACATACATGAAACGGACACAAAGACTCAGAACAACAATTTGTGGATCACACAAAGTGTCGTCTTATGTAAATAATATTTATTTCTGTAAGTAAATCTTTTCAGATATTTTTACAAGTCGGTATTCTAAGGCACTTCAAGGTAGAGACAGGCTTTGTCACAAATGAGCCAGCTTGAATATTATAAATTACGAGTATAATACAGCAATATTTTTTTATGTATGTTCGGGCATAACTCGCAGTATATTCGACCCCCTTATAATTATTTACGTTTTTAGAACCTATTTCTTCCCATTTATGCTCATTTCCAATGATTTTTTATTTAATAATATATATATATATATATATATATATATAAATGCTCTGAGAAATATTACCTTCGATATTATTAAAACGCCTTGTAAGATTACGCTCCTTGTAAATACATATATTTGATACGAGCCTTTTATTTAAAAAAAGGTAATTGCAATTTTACAAATTGCTATAAATTACAACGCAGGCGCTGGTTAATAAATATAACTTATTGTAAATTAATGTAAAGTTGGTGTACCTACGGACGTAGTTGTTAATACACAAAGATGTGTATTATAATTCAATTGTAAAAGACATTTCATTTCTTACTATTCATATTAATTGTAAACTCATTATTGTCACTGCATTGCTAGCTAGCTGCATATTTTGCTAGCAACGCGAATTTCAATAGTCCGTTGCAGTAAAAGTTTTTGTGCACCTAATTTTTAATCTTGGTACCTAATTTTTTAATTTTTTTAATCTAAATGCCTGACTTTGCGTCGATGGTGTCACAGAGCTCAAAAGTTAACCCTTCCCTTAAAGTTAATAGGCCTAGTTTAGTAGGTACTAGTAGACCTACTATAAAGTGGTAATGACAGCTAATTTCAGGGATGGTTACACAAATCTTTTCTCATTTCTAAACTTGATATGTGAGCTTCTGAAGGTGGTCGACTATTATCCTATACAACCCATCCTCCTTCATTGGGGTATAGGAATCTATACTAATATTATGAAGAGGTTAAGTTTGTGAGTTTGTATGTTTCGGGTAATCTCCGGTACTATTGATCCGAATTAAAGAAATATTTTAGTGTTGGATAGCCCATTAAGCAAGAATGGCTATATGACTTATAGGAGCAATAAAAATTGTGGTAAAAACGGTTAAAAGTTATTCCTTTTGAGACACGGAGACAAAGTTGTTTAGGGCCAATGTGTTGTGAATTGTTAGTTTAACTTAGAAGACAGCGTTGCGCTGCTGGCGTTACTAGATCTATATTGTAATGCTAGTACCGGTATACAGTAACAGGAATAAGTACGTAATACATTGCGTACTCCAGTCAATGATATTTTTTAAGGAAGATACGTATTATTCATGCACGCACATAATATATTTGTTCCGTAACCGTACATAAATATATTTATGCCTTTAAAAACAAAACATATATCTGTGGTATGATATTTTTTTATCTTTATTTACCTTTTTGTTGTAATGTGTGCACTTTCAGAATAGTCAGGCAGGCATTTTATCAATTTTCTCGAATTAATTAGTACGTGCGCATTGGTCCTAATAAGGACCCTCACGGTTGGTGCGTTGGTGTCGTATCTCCCTCTTGTTTGTATATAATGCAATACAAGCAACTCTTTACCGTGGGAGAGCCATGCTTCGGCACGAATGGGCCGGCTCGACCCGAAAGATACCACGGTCTCACAGAAAACGGTGTTAAGCAATTCTCTCGTTGCCTTTCACTGAGTGAGTGAGGTTTATGACCGGAGCCCAAATCCCCTGAGTCGAGCGGGAGGGACTCCAAGGGCAGCAACGCACTTGTGACTTTTGAATTGCAGGTGTCCATGGGCGGTAGTAGTTGCTTACCATATGTGTGACCCGTCTGCTCGTACCATAAAACAAAAATATACAATCATGAACTCTAACAATCTTCAATATCTTCAACAATCGGCTACATGTTTCATCAAACTTATACCAATACTTAATTAATTATACACATTACACGTCGCATTGGTGCAAATCCTATCAAAATGCGTTCAGAGTTTATCACCTTTATACACAAACAAATAGGTACGAATGCGACTTTTTTATAATATGTAAGGATGACAAACTTGTATGTTTTCTATTAATTTTCAAAGGGAAATTTATTTCAATATCAATTTAAGTAATAAGTATACTTAATCCGCGTCACCAAGCAGATTATACTTATTACTTAAATTGATTAAGAATACTTAACTGAATTAAGAATACAGAGTGTCACCGCCCCCATTTCATTCTGTGGGTGTCGTAAGAGGCGACTAAGGGAGCAAACTACTCTGGACAGCAGCACTGCAGAGAGAAGGAAAACTTGACATAAACCCTATACCAACCCGTCTGGCCAACGTGGTGTAGTAGGCCATAACCTCTTTTCTAAGGAGAGGCCTATGTCCAGCAGTGGACTAGTAAAGGCTGTTGATGAAGCTATATGAGTATGTATAATAACACCAGTTACTCTTCTACCTACTGTACTGTAATATATGTTGCATTTGTTATAACTTTGAACCGTCTAAACGGCTGGTTAGATTTTTATAGTCACAATGTTGTTAGGTGTCTTAAAAACTGTGTTTTAATTATTTAATATTATTAACGGTGTTTTCTTTCAATTCATGTTTTCTTATAACCTGCGTCACAGATTTTACAGTAATTAATTCGTAACTTGTGTAGTTACACGAAAGTAAAGAATGATTAGTTATCACAAAGCAAGGTAGGTATCAATAGGTATCGCTTATTGATAAGTTACGAGTATGACTAATAACTCAACATCTAAGGTTTTAATTAATATTTCTCATTCATTAATAAAATGGTTTATTATTAATTGCGTAAATTTAATCCAAAATCTTTAGATTACAGTAATTTAATTTTAAAGATTGATTATTGTATTTTAATTTATAATGCCTTCGGAGCGAAGAATGGCTATATTACATCATGCTAAGACTATTAGGAGTCGAGCACCAATGAAAAATGTGTTTATTCCTTTTGAGACACGGAGACAAAGTTGTGTTGTTAATTGTTAGTTTAACTTAGAAGACAGCGTTACAGCTGCTAGCGTTACTAGATCTATTTTGTGATAGACCTATCAATGCTAGTACTGGCAACGGTATGCAGTAACAGGAATAAGTACGCATGAATGAGTAATAAGTAAGGCATGAAAATTAGATGATCGATCCAATCGAGTGCACAATACCGTCCTGGAACGAGCCAATGTCAGTGGCATTGAAGCTTATTTAATGAGCCGGCAGCTTCTTTGGTGAGGTTACATCATCACGTATATGGGAGGAAA